GGCGGGAGGAAGGGGAGTGGGAGGTGGGGCTGGCAGGGGGGGGGCCATGGGGCTGGTTCAGGCCGGGACATAAAAACCTCTAGGGATGGAGATTCCACACTCTCCCTAGGGAACACAGCCCAGCACTTCATCACCCTCCAAGGGAAATAGTTTTTCCTAATATCCAACCTAGATCTCTCCCACGGCAACTTGAGACCATTGCTCCTTGTTCTGCCATCTGCCACCACTGAGAACAGCCTCTCTCCATCCTCTTTGGAACCCCCCGGGACATAAAAACCTCTAGGGATGGAGATTCCACACTCTCCCTAGGGAACACAGCCCAGCACTTCATCACCCTCCAAGGGAAATAGTTTTTCCTAATATCCAACCTAGATCTCTCCCACGGCAACTTGAGACCATTGCTCCTTGTTCTGCCATCTGCCACCACTGAGAACAGCCTCTCTCCATCCTCTTTGGAACCCCCTTCAGGTAGCTGAAGGCTGCTCTCAAATCCCCCCTCCCTCTTCTCTTCTGCAACTAAACAAGCCCAGATCCCTCAGGCTCCCGTAGGTCATGTCCCCCAGCCCCTAGAGAGCCGCAGGTGCAGCATGCGGAGACCTCCTGGCCAGCCTCACCCACGGCTCTGGGATTTGAGCTGCCTGCCCGCCCAGAAGACGTTTAAGGTGTTAGTGTCCCGTAGTGGGGGGCCCGAGCTTCCCCTGGCCACAGGCAGAGTGACCCTGCTCAGTTCGCTCTCGGAGGGGGGAAGAAACGTGGTGTCGTGTTAGTATCTTGTTGTTTACTATGCTTGGGCTGTGGGGGACCCCCGCTGGCAGCTGTCTGTAGCACGGCCCAGCAGGGGGTGCCCTACCCCCCCCCAGGGCAGTGGCTAAAACCAGTTCTACAAGTTAAGGGAAGAGGGTGAACAAAGGACGCGTGTGCGAGGGGAAGGGGCAGTTTTGGGGGCTGGAGCCATGAGAGAGAGACTGAGGAGGAAGCTGAGGTTGAGGGGGCCCAGTCACCCCCATCTCAAGGGGGCCTGAGGCATCCTGGCCCTAATTCCTGTAACCAGATTACATCTGTGCTGTACCCTGGAGAAGCAAGAAACTCCCTCTGTTCTACTGGCTGGTGGAGTCTGTGCCTGCGGCTACGGGGGTGCAGGATTGGGTGGAAGCCCAGCTCTCCGTCACAGTTGGTTACAACCGACAATGCCCTAGTGGCCTGGGACTGCCCTGCTCGAGGGACTGCCTCCCTCTCTACACTGCGCTGCCATCGCCAGCGTCCGAAAGCCTTGGATCCACTCTTCAGTACATGCAAATGAAAACCCCTCTGACAGAGGGCACGGCTTTAGTGAGCTCGCCTGGAGAGCGCCTGCACTAACACACCCTAGCTGCACCCTGCCATCGCAGGCTAGGCACGAGCTGCTCCGGAGCCAACCCTCCGCGACTCTCCTCGGGGCGGGGGGACTGCTCACCTGAGCCCCGAAGCACCAAGGTGCTCGCCTCTGGCGTGCGCGCCTGGCAGGGCCTGTTCTTACTCTGCCAAATGTTGGCCACTTTCTTGGCTTGTGTGTGTGTTTGTGCAGCGCCCCCCACAGGTT